CATGTAGGTTTGGCTTTGGATTTGGTTGAGATTAAATGGAAAGGGCTTTTGTACTAAGTTGAGATTTTATTTCATAGGTAATGGAGAATATATTGGGTTTTGAACGGGAAGTGCCATGGACCGAGCTCTGAGCCTGTAGGAGTGAGGAGCATTGAGATGCTGTTTGCCACAGCCCAGGCAAGCAATATAGAGCTAAAATCTAGGTAGGCAGATGTGAGGAAGAGCATAGGTTCAGGCTGTCCAGAGCCTGGGAAAAGGTTTGGGCTTCTTGATTTATATGTTATTTTTGTTTGGTTTGTGTTTGTTTGACTTTGAGACAGGGTCTCATATAGCCAGGATGGCCTTGAATTCTATAAGTAAGTAGTTCAGGCTGACTTTGAATTCCTGGTGCCTCCCTCCCCCCTCCCCCCCTCACTTCCCATGCCCTTTACAGGTAGGTATGAACTACTAAACCTGGTTTACACTTTTTAAAATTGCAATGTTCCTTTCTCTGATTGTAGCACCCTCATCACGTGTGTGGATTCTGGGATTCTTAGAGTCTGGTGTGATGATGACAAGGAAGCATCACCTGACCCAGTAAGGTTCACCTGCCCTAGTGGTTTGAGAGAGTTGGAGCCAGGGTGTAGGGGTCTAATGGGGAATTTGGTGGGCAGAAGATTAAGGGCTAAGGACTCTGGGACTGACTTGCCTTTAATTCTTTCCAGCTCTTGGAACTGAAGGTGGGTCCTGGGGTGTGTAGGATGCGCCAAGACCCAGCACATACTCATATGGTTGCCACATGTGGGAAAGAGAATGCTTTGAAAGTATGGGACCTACAGAGGTCTGAGCAGCCAGTGTTCCGGGCCAAGAATGTAAGTGATGAAGGATGAGGGGGTGCTTTGAAGTTGGAGGAAGTGGAGGCCACTGACTGTGATTGGGGCTTATGTGGGCTTTCGGGGGATGGAGGACTGAAGGAGCAGGTCAAGCTTACCTGTGTTCCGTATGTACCTTCACACCAGGTGCGGAATGATTGGTTGGATCTACGGGTTCCTATTTGGGACCAGGATATACAGTTCCTCCCTGGGTCACAGAAGCTTGTCACATGCACAGGGTACCACCAGGTGCGATTCTTTTGCTTATTCCTGGATTGAAACAACTTTCTAGAAAAAACTTGTCTCCTAGCAGAATAGGTTCCCATGGTGTATCTCACTGTCTTCTTTCCTGGGTTTTCAAAGGAGCTCATATTTCCTCAGCTGGTCAAGCCCATGGCTGAGCCAATGACTTTCCCTTTACTGCATTTTAGGATGGAATTTCTTGAACTATGACTTTCTATTTCTCCTACCTAGAAGGGAAAGCAAAGGGAGTATTCCTTTCACACTAGTTTCCATAGGGAACAGATATCCTGGGTAGATATCAGGTTGGCTGTCAAAGCAATTATATAGTCCTCCCATCTACTACTAACCAGGCTCATGAGATCTGACAAGATTGAGCATATTCTGGTCATAGAATTACTTTGTAGTCCTCATGTGTTGTAAAATATTGTTTATGCTGTGGAACATTTGTATAATGGTGCAAACATGTATTGCATTTGTTTATGTTACATTTGTTTAACTCTGTGAAGCTGTGATCCTTTGCCTGTCTAAAGGACCTGATGGTCCAATAAAGAGCTGAATAGCCAATAGCAAGGCAGGAGAAAGGATAGGTGGGCCTGGAAGGCAGAGAGTATAAATAGAAAAAAGAGGAAGAAGGAGCATAAACAAGGAGAGGAGGACTCTAGGGGCCAGTCACATACCCAGCCACAGAGGAAGAGTGAAAGTAAGATATACAGAAGAAAGAGAAAGGTCTAAGCCCAGAGGCAAAAGGTAGAGAGGATGATTTAAGGAAAGCTGGATAGAAACAAGCTAGGGTAAAGTCGGGCATTCATAAGTAAGAAAAAGACTTCATGTATATGGTTTATTTGGGAGCTGGGTGGCGGGCCCACCCCCAAGATTACGTAAAGAGCCAAAGAATAAAAGAAAAAGCAATAGCAATATTCATGTGTCTAATATACTTTGAGGACGCCCTTCTGGTGTCAGCTCTTGGCTAGGGATCTTTTGTGACTTATTTCATTTGAAGTTCTAAGACTCGAGCAGGTTGGGTTGCTATTTGCCATTTGTATAGTCCCTCACATTAAAGTCTAATTTAGATACTAGGCCTTTGTTCATAACATATGAAGAGCTCCCCACCCCTCCCTTGGTAAGGCTAAGCTTTCCTGCTTGAAATCCACCACCCTCTAGCTTTGGTTCAGCTTGCTTTTCTGTTTCTCTGCTACCATCAGATGCACATACAAGAGACAAAAATGTTTACATAGTCTCAGACATAGACACCTGCCCTCAGCCTGTGCTCATGCTCCTAAGCAGTTCTTGCCCCGACATTCTGAGATGAGATGAGGGACATACCTCAAATGAGGAAGTTTCTCTGAGGGGCTTATAGATAGTAAGCAGTCTTGTCAGGCACTCCTTTAATCCGAGCACTCAGGAGGCAGATGCCGGTGGATCTCTGTGAGTTTGAGGCCAACCTGGTCTATAGAGCAAGTTTCAGGACAGCAAGCGCTATACAGAAAAACCCTGTCTTGAAGAAAAGAAAATTAAATAGTAAGCAGTCTTCAGAAGGCTGATGCTAGATATGAAGATAATGGGGGCCAGTGTAGGCAAGGACACTCTTGTGATACCACAGTCTTCCTCTAGGTCCGTGTCTATGATCCAGTCTCTCCTCAGCGCCGGCCAGTCCTGGAGGCCACCTATGGAGAGTACCCCTTGACAGCCATGACCCTTACTCCTGAGGGCAAGTGAGTATTGACGGGAGGGAAGTCTGGAATGACTCCAGAAGTTGTGCTGAGCCCCTGTCTGGTCTCCTCCATAGTTCTGTCATCGTAGGGAACACTCATGGGCAGCTAGCAGAAATTGATTTTCGGCAAGGTGAGTGGACAGTGGGTTGCTTGAGATGGGGGGAGGGCAAACTAGTAGTACGGGGTTGGGGTAGGTCACTGAACCCTGACAGTGCCACATTCCTTCCCTGGGTTCAAGTTCTGGTCTTACCAAAAACTGACTTTGGATTAGTTATTTGCTCCCTGTGTCTTTGTTTCCTTACCTGTAAAATTGGAACATCACTGGTAACTCCTGTTTCTAGGGTATTTTGAGGATTAAGTACTGAAACATAAGTAGTTTGAACAGTAACTAATTAGATGTCCATCAGCTAGGCAATTAGCACTGATGCCTCCACCTTCTCCAGGGCGTCTACTGGGCTGTCTGAAGGGGTTGGCAGGCAGTGTCCGTGGGCTGCAGTGCCACCCTTCTAAGCCCCTATTAGCCTCTTGTGGCTTGGACAGAGTCTTGAGGATACACAGGATCCGAAATCCACGTGGGCTAGAGCATAAGGTGAGAGCCCAGCCCTCCGGCATTCACTCCCACTGACATCTTTATCTGGAGCCTCTCCTGCTCCCTGTGCCCCACGTTCAAGTTTCTGTCTCAGCTCATCTGGACTCAAGACCCCTTTTATTTTATAGGTTTATCTCAAGTCTCAACTGAACTGCCTCCTCCTGTCAAGCAGGGATAACTGGGAGGTGAGCAACTACTTAGGTGTAGGAATGTGGGAGCCAAAGGCATGATGGCAAGGGATTCTCGCGAGAGAGAATGGGAGGCAGTTTAAACATAGACCCCGGCTGTCTCTTTACTGTAACTTAGTTTCCCTGAGGGGTGTTCAAGCCTTTATAGGCTTATCGCCAAGGGTGAGGTCTCCAGAACACAATAGCTTTGGCTTCTAGATCAAAGTGGTGGTGTCCATAGGCATTATCTTTCTGCCAGGCTCTCCCTTGACACTGATTCTTGAGTTTCCTTCTCACTCATCAGGATGAGCCCCAAGAACCTCAAGAGCCCAACATGGTGCCCCCAGAAGACACAGAGACAGATGAACTTTGGGCATCTTTGGAGGCAGCTGCCAAGCGGAAGCTCCCTGATTTGGATCAGACACAAGAGACGCTCCAAACAAGAAGAAAGAAAAAGAAGCGGCCTGGATCCACCCGTCCTTGAAGGCCGTTGCTCATTTTTGCTAATAAACAGTCCAACACACACAGATCCTGAACCTCTTGTGATGGGAGAAAGGAGAGGTGGCTTGTGCGTGGGAGGGGTTCCCTTACCTAGGCTGTGGGGGACATGACGTCACAAAAGCTAGACCCAGAGTTAAGCAGGTTGGGGAGGGTGGCAGAGTCCTGCGCCTCTCGGGGCCATGGGCTGCTGTCAAGACAAGGACCGTCAGACCTCTGATGACCAAGCAAGAGAGGACGGGAACGAGGAAGGTAGGGCCAGACTCACAAATGGGTCGCGGGAGGGGGAATGGGAGTGGGAAGTAACTAAGAAAGGGCTGCCCCAAGAGGTTGGATTAGAGAGATCAGAACTGGGGTTGGAGAGATGGCTCAGCCGTTAAAGGTGAGGCTCACTATCAAAACTATAAGAGCAGAACTGAATAAAGTGGCTTCGTGGCCTTTGCAGGCACCAGAGGCGATTTGGACAACACAGGCCACCGCAAACAAAGATCTAACGAAAGTCTTCTGATAACCGTGCTGTGGCGCAGGCTATCCATGTTCAGCCGTCGGGGGTCAAGCAAGAGGCCCTCAGAACAGACTCAAAAGCAGGACAGTCAGATCCAGGAGCGCAAACGTGAGGGAAGCCACAAGGAACCAGAAAAGGGCTGACTCCAACCCTGCTCTCGTCCTCCCCAACATCCAGAGAATAAAACTAATATTGTGGATCTGCCGAAAGCACTTAAGCCTCAGCTTCCAGCTTTGTAGGTGCAGGGACCATGGGTTCTTTAAGGCGCCTCTGGCCCAGCCCCTTGGGATCTGTTTCTGCGCCTCAGGGGCGGGGCCGCGGCGGCAACCTAGCCAATGGGAAAGCGGAGGTGAGCTCGCAGGGGCAGGGGTGTGTTCTTCCTGTCTCCGGGCTTAGAAAAATAGGCGTGGCGCGGTAGCACGTCACGGGGGTGGGGTTACGCGTGGGTGACGTGGCGGCTCCTGCTCTTGGGTCCGATTTCGGCGGCTTACTAGTCCGGCGAGGAGGCGGCGACGGCCTGGGGAGAGTGGCAGTGACGGCGGCGGTAGGCAGCAGAGGAGGTAGGGCTTCGCTCAAATGTGGGTCCAGTCTTTGTGGGTCGTCTCAGCTCAGGGGCAGCGGCTTGACGGTGGGGGAGGGGACAAAGAAGGGAGCCAGGGGCAAGTCCTGCTGGCGGCTCCGCGAAAGCGCATACCTCGCTGTCCAATCAGGAAAGGCCTTGTTGAGAAAGACGTCGGCCCTGTCCAATCGGTGGCTGCAGTCTTCCAACAGGCGGAACTTTGATGGAGGTGGGACTTCCTGTTTTAAATAAACACTTTAGAGGTTTTCCCCCCCTCCGCCCACCCTAGTGTGTCCACCTCTGGAGGTCGGTTGCCGGTTTCCCGTGAGGGGGTGAAGGAAAACAAACCAGAGGGCACGTTTAGGATCTGGGCCAACTGCAAAGGTCTGGCTAGAGGCTCAGGGCCGCAGGACCAGGCTCTGGCTGTTTTCTCGACTTTAGGGCCACCGGCCGGTGCTTTGGCCATCAGAGCCAAGTTGGAAGGAGAATCTGAGGAGCTCGCCTTGGGCCTGGAGGAAGCTGACCCTTCTCGCCGTGGCCGGGCTGCAAGATCTACGGGTGGCCTTGGGCTCGAAAGTCTGTCAAATACGGGAAAGGGCCTGAGGATTTGCTAGTTGAGGGAAGAGTTTGGGGAAAGAGGCTGTCTGGAGAATGACGTTCTCCTCTCCACAACAGTCCGAGGTTATGCGACTCAATGATCCCGCGGAAACGCTACGGATCTAAGAACACGGATCAGGGTGTCTACCTGGGTCTCTCAAAGACACAGGTTCTGTCCCCTGCAACTGCTATCAGTAGCAGCAGCGACATCGCTCCTTTGTCCACCCCGGTGGCCCTGGTCCCTTCCCCTCCCGACACCATGTCCTGCCGGGATCGGACCCAGGAGTTCCTGTCCGCCTGTAAGTCGCTGCAGAGCCGTCAGGTAAGGTACCGGAGTGGAAAAACAGGTGTGAGCCCAACTAATGCTTACGTTCTATCTGCTAGTTACCTAAAGTTACTTCACAGATTTTAGATTATCGAATGTTACCAGTAAGAGTGGAAGAATTATCTTCAGTAGAGATTAAGAATAGTTTAAGTAACTTGTTCTGAATACCACAAACGATGAGTCAAGATTTAAAGCTGCATCTGCTTCTATGTTATGTTGTTCCCCAGCACAGCGAAACTGTGTATTTAAATCTTCTTGCTCATATTTGAATTTTTCTACTACATAGCCCTGTTCTTCTGTAGCTAGCAACAGTTCATTAATTTTAAACTCTAAGCCTTCTCATTCATGGAAAAACTTTTTTTCTTAGCTATTACCCCCTGATAAATTTATAGATTGTCTGATGCCAACAGCACTAGAGTGTTTAGTGGGATTGTGAGGGAGCGGTGAATCGCGAAGAGACCTAAAGCAGTCACTTTTTGACATTGCTTTTCAGAATGGAATCCAAACAAATAAACCAGCTCTTCGTGCTGCCAGACAACGCAGTGAATTTACCCTTATGGCCAAGTGAGTTAAGAGAGGCTTTGTGGTGGGGTGATATAAAGGCTGAGAAGTCAATTTGCCTGTGTTGATTTGGCTGAGTGGGGTTGGTTGTGTTGGGGCTTATGGAAGTAGCCTGCCTCCTGCCCTTTACCACAGCCTTTTCCCTGATGATCCTTTACAGGCGCATCGGGAAAGATCTCAGCAATACATTTGCCAAGCTGGAGAAGCTAACAATCTGTGAGTGTTTGGTAGATCTTTCCTAGGTGGGAGTGGGACAGTGAAACGGTACTAGGAAGTGAGGCTCATGGAGGTTTTGTTTTTCCTATGGTGCTGGAGATTTTTTTTTATATTTATTTATTTATTTATTTATTTATTTACTTTGTATACAATATTCTGTCTGTATGTATGCCTGAAGGCCAGAAGAGGGCACCAGACCCCATTACAGATGTCTGCAGGCCACCACGTGGTTGCTGGGATCTGAACTCAGGACCTCTGGAAGAGCAGCCAGTGCTCTTAACCGCTGAGCCATCTCTCCAGCCCCGACCGGTGCTGGAGATTTTAAACCAGGCCTTTGTGCCTTAAAGCAAGGCCTCTACACCTGAACTGTATTCCTAGCCCTCTGAGCCTTGTCATTACCCTTACCTGTTGTAACACCTCGTCTGTCTCTGCAGTGGCAAAGCGCAAGTCCCTCTTTGATGATAAAGCAGTAGAAATTGAGGAGCTAACATACATCATCAAACAGGTGAGCTGCTAGCCGTCAGGAGAGCCCAGCATTCTAATTAGATTACTTCCATCATTTTCCATCGCCATGAATCCCTAGGGTAAGTACCTAGACCTGTGTCCACACACCCTGCCCCTCCATTGAGTCAGTAGACACTTAGGAACATCTAGCATTTATAAAGCACTGTTCTAAATGCTGATGGAACAGATGGGAAGCAAGATGATTTTCTTCAAAGGCTCACTGTTCTTAAGAGTTACCCAGCATAAGGGCCTGCACTTAAAATGGGTAGGTGATAGTACAGAAAAGATTCTACAAAAAGATGGATGAACCAGGATGCTGAGAAAGATTGACAGAGGATATGAAATGTGAGCTGGGTTCAGAGCTAGGTGGAGGTGGTAGAAGGACTTAACAGTCTGAGGGGTCTATATGTAGAGGTGTTGATTAGAAAAAGGAGAGGTCAGCCAGAGGATGGTGGTGGCACGTACCTTTAATCGCAACACTCAGGAGGCAGAGGCAGGGGATCTCTGATTCCAGGCCAGCCTGATCTATAGAGTAAGCTATAGGACTAGGACAGCCAGAGTTATACAGAAAAAAAAAAAAAAAAAAGAAGCAAGTCCGTTGTGTATAATTTCCTTATGTTTGTCTTCATTTCCTCCATCCTTTCGACTTTTCCAATAGAAGGAAAAGAGTGGGAGGGGAAACAAAAGGTTTTTCAGATACCCCAGGAACAAGTTCTTTGTTTTCAAGACTGCCAGGCACGTGTGTGTGTGTTTGTTTGTTTGTTTGTTTGAAAACAGGCTTTCTCTATATATCCCTGGTTGTCCTGGAACTTGCTCTTTAGACTAGGTTAGCCTCGAACTTAGAGATCCACCTGTCTTTGCCTCTTGAGTGCTGCAATTTAAGGCATATACCATGCCTGGCTACTACATGCTGGTGTTTGTGATTCTTCTGCCTCAGCCTCCCAAGCACAGGGATTTTACCATGTATCACCATGCCTGTCCGGGATTTTCCTTTCTGCTTGTTCACAGGTATATTACAAGTGCTTATATAATAGTATCGAACCTGACTATTAGTTGCCTAAGTGAGTGACCAGCAAGAAGTTGGTTGTTAGCTGGGCGGTGGTGGCGCACGCCTTTAATCCCAGCACTCGGGAGGCAGAGGCAGGCGGATCTCTGTGAGTTCGAGGCCAGCCTGGTCTACAAGAGCTAGTTCCAGGACAGGAACCAAAAGCTACGGAGAAACCAAAAATCCAAAAAAAAAAAAAAGAAGAAGAAGAAGTTGGTTGTTTGACTGAGTGGCTAGTTGTAAGAGTGTTAGGGACCTTGATAACCAAGTGTAGAATCATGTGTCGGGGCAACATGTAGAGTCTGATCTGAAACATGGATGGGGTGGGGTAGAGGCTAAGGAGGCAGTTGGTGTGACTATATAGTACAAATAATGGTGGCAGAGGCCAGAGAGCAAATGCATTTAAGAGGTGCTATGCTGGTGAAAGAGTCTTGGGTTGCTATTGGGGTTATTAACCACTTAAGAACTATGTCACTGGTTTCTGAAAAATATGAAGTTGCTTTGTCACCCACTTAGGTTGTGACCATATGTGAGCTCCTAAATTCTGAGTTGCCACTGTCTTATCAGTAAGTTAGAGATAATAAAAGTACCTGCCCCAAACATGGGCAGTAGTGGCACATGCCTTAAATCCCAGGACTTGTGAGGCAGAGGCAAGCCTGGTCTGCAGAGTGAGTTCCAGGACAGGCTCCAAAAGCTACAAAGAAATCCTGTCTTGAAAAAAAAAAAAAAAAAAAAAGGCAAAGAAAAAAAGTATTATCTGCCCCACAGATTTTATGAGGATCTTTTGTTTCTTTTTTTGGGGGGAGAGGTTCAAGACAGGATTTCTCTGTGTAGCCCTGACTGTTCTGGAATTCAATCTGTAGTACAGGCTTGCCTCAAATTCAGAGATCTGTCTGCTTTGTAGGCCAGGTTGGCCTTAATTAAACGCAGAGATCATCTGCCTCTGCCTCCCAGTTGCTGGAATTAAAGGTGTACACCCCACCGACTGCCCATTTGTTTGCTTTTGTCAGTTGCTGACACCGGATTTTCAAAGCTGAGAATATTTCAGGTTGGTTGGCTGAAGAAGTAGTATTTGAGCTGTGTGTGAATAGTGAGGAAAAGGAGCTCATCTGATGATCTGGTGAGAATGTATTCCAGAAAGTGGGAATGCAGTGCAGAAAATGGGCATAGCAGAAGGAAAGGTCTCAAGTGTGGGTCGCATACCACAGCAGCAGAATACAGTTAGAGAAGTAGACAGTGGCCAGACAGAGGGCCTGCGTAAAACAACTTAAACATGAAGGTTGTATTCTAAAATTGAATGATGAGTTCTTGGGAGATTTTCAAGCAGAGGAATGACAATACCCTGGGTTTTCTTTTTTGTGTTCTGTTTTGTTTTTTCTTACATTATTTATTTTTAAATATTTATTTGGATTTGGTTTTGAAGATCATACTAGCCACATTTAGGCAGTAGATTATAGGAAGGCAGACTAAAAAGAAGGCAGTCATTAAGAAGGCTCTTGGAGGTTTTTCGAGTAGAGATGATGGTTAGAGTTTATGAGGTAGAAAAGAAGATAATGTAGATAATTGGAATCATTTGGGTTCATTGTGAGCAAATGATGGTTCCACGTGGATTTGAAGAAAAAGGGAATAGAGGTGTTACTTGGTTTTGTTTGCTTTTTTTTATTATTGATTGATTGATTGATTGATTGAGGCAGGGTCTCACTGTGTAGACCAGGCTGGCCTTGAACTCATAGAACTACTTCTGCCTCCCAAGTGTTGTGATTGAAGGCATGTACCTCTAGCCTGCTTAAAAACATTTTTAAAAATGTTTATAAGTGTTTTGTGTACATGTATCTGTTTGTACCATGTGTGTGCTTGATGCCTGTGGAGGCCAGAAGAAGACATTGAGTATCCTAGAACTGCAGTTACACATGGTTTTGAGCTAACATATGGGTGTTAGAAGTTGAGCCTGTCCTCTATAAGAGTAACGAGTGCTCTTAATCACCGAGCCAACTCTAGAGCCCATTTGTAGTTTAAGATAGAATCTCATCTATCTTAGGCTGACCTTAAATTCATTGCAGTCCACCTACCTCTGGTGGGATTTTAAGTAAAAACACAGTGACCAGCTGAGCATCTGATGAATGGTGGTGCCATTTACTAAAATGGAAAAAGACAGGGAGGGAATGTGACTTTGAGGGGATTGAGTACAGGGTTTCTCTGTAGCTTTGGAGCCTGTCCTGGAACTAGCTCTTGTAGACCAGGCTGGCCTTGAACTCACAGAGATCCGACTGTCTCTGCCTCCCAAGTGCTGGGATTAAAGGCATGCACCGTCGCCCACCACCCGGCAGTAGAAAAGTTTTCTATGCTGATTTAAGAGAGAACATTGTAAGATGCTTAAACAGCAAATAAATAAAAAGCAGTTAATGGGCTTTTTGTTGTTGTTGCTTTTTAATTTTTTTGTTTGGGTGCAGGGAAGAAATCCAGGGCCTGTGTTTGCTGCCCTACACCCCCCCCCCCCCCCCCCCCCCCCCCCCGGCCTCTCGTTATATTTGACACAGTACTGAGTACACAATAAGCACTTAGTAGATTATGGTTCTGTTTAGGTGATCTCATTTGTCAAGTGTATTTTAGCATATAGTTTTTGATAGTATGTAGGTAGACTAAGGAAATGTGGGTGATCAGAAGCCTTCAGTTTGAGTTTCTGCATGGGAAATAGTACTTCACCTAAGCTAGAACCCAAAGGAAGGAGCTGTTATGGCAAAGAAACAAAAAGTGCATTTGGTCAGAAACTCTAGAAAGGTAGACCTGTCATTAGCGAATGTGAGTCCAGGGTTATAGAGAGGTGTGTGGTTGGGCCTACTTAGAAAGCCTCTAGAAATGCTTGAATTTTGTCTTCAATGTATTTCTCATACTCACTTTAAAAATTCTAAAATTATATTTGTTTGTGGTTTTGGGGGGTGGTATCTGAGTGTCATGGCCTACATGTAGAGTTGGTTATCTCTTTCCCTTGTATGGGTCCCTGGGGTTGACTTGAGGTTGCCAGGCATGGCAACAAGCTCTTTTGTCTATTGAGCCATCTTGCTGACTCTCATACTCTATTCCTGATGCCTGGGTAATAGTGTGTTGGGACAGGTTTTCTCTGACGTCACTGTGGAGAATGGAATGTAGGAGACACATTGGCAGTGATATGAATTCACTGTATGTGATTTTGAATAAATCACAGCAAGTCTTTTGCAGTATTAGAAATTCTGTGTAAAATTTTGCTTCTTTGATACTTCTAGGAAAATAGGGTGATTTTTGCCTTTTCTTGGGTTTTATTCAAGTACTCTGTCAGCATGCTACAGGTACAAGATTTTGGCCTTTGTAAGGGTTCTATGCCCTTACAAGGTAAAGTATAGCAGAAAGGTGGAAGGCAGATAAATCATTCACTTAGAAATGGTGAGACCATCAACTTCCTTTTTCTGCAAGGAATGAACAGTCTTTGAATAGTCCCAGTGCCACCTTCTGATCTGACTAGACACTTGACTAGTTTTATCTTGTCCTCTCTGCCAGGGGTAACACAGATGGGGTCAATGACTGGAGACTTCTTGCTTAATACTCTTCTTCTGCTCTCTTACCAGGATATCAATAGCCTCAACAAACAGATTGCTCAACTTCAAGATTTTGTGAGGGCCAAGGGTAGCCAGAGTGGCCGGCATCTGCAGACGCATTCCAACACCATTGTAGTTTCATTGCAGGTGAGACCCTGGGGATGGAAGAAGTGAGGAAGGGGATAACAGAAAGTGACTTCTTTGAATGACCCAATTGTTCTTGCTTTTTATAGTCAAAACTGGCTTCCATGTCCAATGACTTCAAATCAGTTTTAGAAGTGAGGACTGAGGTAAATGGGATCTATATAGGTGGGAAGAATCTGTGGTATGGACCCAAGAGGAAAAGGGGAAGGGCAAGTTATCCAGAGTCATGGGGTCAACATACCCACTTTCCAGAGAGACTCAGGACCTTTGCATTTCCCCCCAACATCAGAACCTGAAACAACAGAGGAACCGTCGGGAACAGTTCTCCCGGGCACCAGTGTCGGCCCTGCCTCTTGCCCCCAACCACCTTGGTAAGTCAGAAACAATATGGGAAGCCTATTAGCTAAGTTCTGGCTGTGGTAGTATCCCTATTGCTAGTATAACAGACATATGCCACTATTCCCCACTTGAATTGCTTTTTTTGTTGTTTTTTTGTTTTGTTTTTTTTGTAAGATTCATTTATTATGCATAGTGTTCTGTCTGCATATATGCCTGCAGGCCAGAAGAGGGAGCCAGGTCTATTACAGGTGGCTGTGAGCCACCATCTGGTTGCTGGGAATTAAACTTAAGACTTCTAAAAGAACAGCCAGGGCTCTTAACTGCTGAGCCATTTCTCCAGCCCCTTAAATTGCTTTTTGTTGTTGTTGTGAGGCAGAGTCTCTCTCTATAGTCTTGGCTGTCCTGGAACTTGCTATGTAGATCAGACTCAAACTCAGATCCTTTTGCCTTAGCCTCAGGAGTGCAGAGCTTAAAGTCATGTGTTACCATGACAGGCCCTGAACCTGCTTTTAATCATTAAAACGTGCCATGTCCTGTTTCTCCTCCAGGGGGTGGTCCTATAGTTTTGGGAGCAGAGTCCCAAGCCTCCAGGGACGTGGCCATTGACATGTTGGACTCTAGAACAAGCCAGCAACTTCAACTTATTGATGAGCAGGTACCCAGGCTCTGAAATGTAGAGGATCAGCTCCTCTTTTGTCTTATGTTCTCCTGGAGTGTTTGGAATGTGATATAGTGAAAATGTCTTAAAAACTCAGGCCCTCGTTCATGGTGCTTTCTTCTTCTGAAGGATTCCTACATCCAGAGTCGGGCAGACACCATGCAGAACATCGAGTCTACAATCGTTGAGCTGGGTTCCATTTTTCAGCAGTTGGCACACATGGTTAAAGAACAGGAGGAAACTATTCAGAGGTGAGCCATTCTCACTCCATACAGTGGAACTTTCTCTTCTCCAGGGATTAGCATCTTGAAGTTCCCAGGTACAGCTTGGGGGTCTTTGGAAGAGTGAGTGAATCCTTAACCCCCATGAGTCCTAATTCACCAGCTTCTAATCACTTAATAAGAGGGCCTGATGTGGTGATGCACGCCTTTAATCCCAGCATCCTGGAAACAGAAGCAGGCAGATCCCTATGAGTTTGAGACTGGCCTGGTTAACATAGTGAATTCCAAGACAGTCTGGGAGGAGGGCTATACATAAAGAGAGACCCTTTTTTAATTTTGTCTTTTATTTTCTGAGACAGAGTTTCTCTGTGTAGCTTTAAAGCCAATCTTGGAAACGCATGTAGACCAGGCTGGCCTTGAACTTGCAGAGATCAACCTGCCTCTGCCTCCCGAGTGCTGGTGCTGGGATCGAAGGCATACACCACCACTGCCCCCCAATTTTTTTTTTTGAAGACAGAGTTTCTTTGTGTAACAACCCTAGCTGTCCTGGAACTCACTTTGTAGACCAGCTGGCCTTCAACTCACAGAGATCTATCTGCCTGCCTCTGTTTCCCAAGAGATGGAATCAAAAGCATGAGCCACCATCACCCAGCAAGGGACCCTTTTTAAAAAAGAAAAAAAATTACTGAGGGCCTGGAAGTACAGTCTGGTTGTAAAGTGTTTGCCTACCATACATGAAGGCTTAGGATCGGTCTTCAGAATCATAGACAAAAGGAAAGAAAGCAATTGGTGGCACCAACTAACTGGCCCAGCGGTATAGGAACTTTCTACATAAGCCTAGTGACAGTTTGATCACTGCAGTCAGGTGAAGGAGAAACAAGAGACCAGCACCACAGAGTTGTCTTCTGCTGCTGTATCTGTGCCCCCCCCCCCATAGCAATAAAAATGTAAAAAAAAAAAACAAAAAACAGCTAAGAAGGGAGCACAGTATGCAGCCTTTATTTTTGAGCACTGTTTGAGCTCAGGAGTGCAAGGCCATCTCTACAAGTGTAGTCAAGCTGTATTTCAAAAATTAAAAGAGATGGCTCAGCAGTTAAGAACACTTGTTCCTTCTCCAAAGGACCTGGGTTCAATTCCTAGTACGCACATGGTGTTGCACAACCATATTTAACTCTAGTTCAAGGGGATCCAGTGCCCTCCCCTGGCCTCCACAGGCATCAAGGATACAAGTGATATACAAACATGGAAAGCACACATTAAACAGGTTAATAAGTGAATAAGTCTAATTTTAAAAAACTTAATAATTATATGAGAACAGGTATTGTAGTATATGCCTTTAATCCCAGTACTCCAGGAGTAGAGGTGGGCAGATCTCGAGTTTTGTTGTTGTTCTGGTTTGGTGTTTTTAGATTTATTTTTTTATTTTATGTATATGAGTGTTTTACTTGCATTTGTATATGTGCCCTGTGTGCCTGGTTCCCACAGAGGTCAGAAGAAGCCATCAGAATCCTGGAAACTGGAGTTAGAAATGATTGTGAAACACTATTGGGTACTGGTAATTGATCCTAGGTCCTCTGCAAAATAGCAAGTGCTCTTAATTGTTAAGCTCTCTCTCCAATTCCTCGATATCTGCATTTGAGGCTGGCCTGGTTTACATAGCACGTTCCAGGCCAGTCAGATCTAATGTTGAAATCTTGTCTCAAAAAAACAAACAAACAAAAAACATGTTTTCAATGTTATCTTCATTCTGTTGTTAAGCTAAGAAATTTTAAATTTCAAATAGTGAATTTTTATGTTTGTTTGAGACAGGCTCTCATATCTTATCTCACGCTAGCTTTAAATTCACTATATAATACTTCCTATGTATGTGAGACTGGCCTGACTCCATCTCTTCAATGTTAGGATAATAGACAAGTGCCACCCTCCTGACTATTTTCATGAAACTCCAGCATGGGCAAGGTGGAGAGCTGAGACAGATGGAAGGGGCTCACTGGTTAGTCAGCCTAGCTAAAGCAGCAGGGCTCAGGTTCTTCTCAGGAAAATTAGAGCCTGATACAACAGAATACCTGACTGTTCTGGCATCTGGGTGCACACACATGCACACATATCCATACACATACATATACACAACAAATCTGAGGCTGAAGAGATTACTCAGTGCTTTAAGAGCACTCACTGTCCTTCCAGAGAACCCAAGTTCAGTTGTAGCCTTCATATCAAGTGACTTACAACCACCTATAACTCTAGCTGCAGGTGATCTAATACCTCCACAGACAAATACATATAATTAAGAGTAAAACATTAGGGCCGGAGAGATGGCTCAGTGGTTAAGAGCATTGTCTGCTCTTCCAAAGGTCCTGAGTTCAATTCCCGGCAACCACATGGTGGCTCACAACCATCTGGAATGAGGTCTGGTGCCCTCTTCTGGCCTGCAGACGTACACACAGACAGAATATTGTATACATAATAAATAAATATTTAAAAAAAAAAAAGAATAAAACATTAGAGAGAGACACCATGGATCCGCCGGAGACAGACGCTGGGAATTTTACCCAGTAAGCCATTGCCACGTGGCAATACACAGATTAATAGAAATGGGTTAAATTAAGATGTAAGAATTAGCCAATAAGAAACTAGAGCTAATGGGCTAATAAGCAGTGTTTTAATTATACAATTTCTTTTTCGGAGCTGAGTGGCCAGGACAAATAAGCAGCCCTCCTTGCAACAATTGGTACTCCAATGTGGTCGTCTGTATTGACGTAAAAACTGAGAAAGTTTGAAAAGGAATTCTAGACACAAAAATACAGAGTTTAACACTGCTCTTTGCTGTTTGCTGGCAGCATGCCACAGCTCCTTTAAGAGAGGTTTTCCAGACTCAGCCATAGCAAAAGAAAAAAAGCCAAGCCGCACAGTTTTAAAATGTCCGCTTTCTAGGTTGTGCTGCCAGCGTGACCTCTGGCTCTTTTTTTTTTTTTTTTTTTTGATTTTCGAGACAGGGTTTCTCCTTATCTTTTGGTTCCTGTCCTGGAACTAGCTCTTGTAGACCAGGCTGGCCTCGAACTCACAGAGATCCACCTGCCTCTGCCTCCTGAGTGCTGGAATTAAAGGTGTGCACCACCACCGCCTGGTACCTCTGGCTCTTTGAGGCTGGAGGTCCAGCCACAGAGCATTTGAGTGGGGTCTGTGAGCAGGCTGCTGCAGCTTGCTTAATGGCGGCTTGGACTGGCTGTGTGCCTAGAAGTGGGGCAGTGTGCATGGCTCAGAGGCACAAGCAGCTCCACCATGTTGGACTGGGCGGCCAAGCAGACACTAACATGTTACATTGATTAATGATGCAGCTTAAGTTTTTAAGAAGCACTTAGCATTTTAAGAAGTGCTCCTGGACAGTAAAGAATTACAGATACACAGTAGGACAGATTCAGACATAAAAGACCTCTAAATGGGTCAGTGTTGGATAAATGTACATAGGCTTGGGAGAGAGAAGAAAAAAGTATAGTGTCTTCAAATAAAGTTAATGCTTTAAAAAGGTCTTTAAAGAGACAGAGTACAGACATAGATTAAAGGAGTAAAAAATAAAATAAATATTAAAAAGTAATAAGAATAAAAAATGATAAATAAAATGTGAGGAGGCTGGTGTGGTACACATGGGAGGTGGAGGCAGAGGAACCAGTTGTTTAAAGGTCATCAGCTCTATAGGAAGTTCAAGGCCATGGTCTGGGCTCTCTCTATATATATTATATATATATTTTTTTTCTCAACTGGTTATTTTATTGGCAAGCTGCATTTTGGGGTTACAAAGAAAGGATCAATCACTTTATTATGTATCTCAAAAGGTAATCTTACAAAAAATTTAAAGAATCACAAATCTAAACTTTTGTATATGAAAAACAATCAATCAGCTCTACTTTAAATCCTCAGGGGACACACTTATTCAGCTACAGGTTTTATATATATATATCAGGAAGCTGAGGGCAGAAATAGGTGCAAAGAATCAATCATCACCCTGATCGCAAACCCATCCCAGCAAGACAGGTATGTCAGCCAATAATAACCGATCTGGGCTATATTTTAAGACCCACTTCCAAAGAACAAACTAAGGATATCCACAATAATAGAGTGCTCACTTGCCTGTGGTTTACTAGGCTTGTGGATTCAGTTCCACAGAAGAAAAGGGGTAAGCAAAAAGAATAGACAACGTTTTTTAGGAGTTTTGTTTCAGAATGCAGCAAGAAAGTCATGTTTCATTGCTTGTACTTATAATTCTGGTACTCAGGAGGGCTGAAGTTGGAAAGATTGTGAGTTTGAGGACAGCCTGCTTGGACAACTTCATAAAACTCAGTCTCAAAAAGAATTAAAAGCTGATGACTGGAGAGATGACTCAGTGGTAAAGATCACTGACTGCTCCTCCAGAGGATCTGGGTTTGAGTCTAAATACCCACATGGTATCTTACAACCACTTGTGATACCAGTTCCAGGGGACCTAGCACACCCTCTTTTTGCCTCTACAGGTACCAGGCATGCATGTGCTACACAGATTTTACACACACACACCCATGCACATGTCAGAAACAGAGCTGACAAACGGATGAATGATAAAGCACTACATCCAGCCCTCGTGCTGCAAGGAACTGGAAGGGAAGGAAGGGAGGAGTGGAGGAAAGAAGCCAAAATCAAACATGTTCTTCTTATCCACATACCTCTTTGAAAAAGTCGTGGCCTATGTCTTTAGTCCCAGCACTCAGGAGGCTTGGGCAGGCAGATCTCTGTGACAAGGCCAGCCTGGTCTACAGAACAAGTTCCAGAACAGGCTCCAAAGCTACACAGAGAAACCCTGTCTTGAAAACAAAACAGAGAGAGAGAGAGAGAGAGAGAGAGAGAGAGAGAGGAGAGAGAATATGAAAGCAAATGTTTAAGAAATATAAGTATCAGAGGAGGCAGGCGGATCTCTGTGAGTTCGAGGCCAGCCTGGCCTACAAGAGCTAGTTCCAGGACAGAAACCAAAAAGCTATGGAGAAACCCTGTATCGAAAA